TTGTAACTTCCTGAGTAAAATGGGGTAATGGGAAGCATCTTTGGTTCTAATATTTGGTCTTAGTTTCTAAGGTTTTTTATTGTTTTTTTTAGACACAGGTCCAGCTGGTTGCCAGGATCGAGTGAGTGGCTCATGATCTCAGGCTCACTGCTGCACTGCGCTTGCGGGTTGCAAGTGATTCTCTCTGCTCAGCTCCGACGTAGGCTGGATTCACAAGCATCGCACCACAACCGCGCGCACGCGGCACGCTCGCGCGGATTTCTCACCGTACAGACCGCACAAAACACACACACCGTCCACTCACGCTGTCCTGAACTCCGACTCAAGTGACCGCCGACTTGGCCTCCCAAAGTGCTGGGATCACAGGGCGTGAGTCACTGCAGCGGCAGCCGTTTTCTAGTTCTTGGCAAAGGGCTTCAAAAGCTGTGGACTGTCGGGTAATCGAGCTTGGCTTCTTGTAAGATGAGTGACTGGGGGCCAGGGGAGGGGCGCTCGATAGGCTCTTGCTGGAGCTGGTTGCCAGGGACCAACGCGGAGATTTACGCGATTGGGCACTTTCAGCTCCAGCGCAACCTCCCGGGCCAAGGAACGAGGGGCTGGAGCTTGAGTTCAATAACTGATAGCCAGTGACTTAATCGGGTCTACATATTGGACCCTCCATAAAATCCCCGAACGAGCTGGGCATCATGGCACATGCCCGTAACCCCGGCACTTTGGGGGACCAAGGCAGGGGGATCACTTGAGTTTGAGACCAGCCTGGGTAATACAGCAAGCCCTCATCTCTACAAAAAATACAGAAATTAGCCAGATGTGGTGGCAGGCGCCTGTAGTCCCAGCTACTTTGGATGCTGAGGCAGGAGGATTGCTTGAGCCTGGGAGTTGAGGCTGCAGTGATGTGTTTGTGCCACTGCACTCCAGCCTGGGCAACACAGCAAAACCATAAAAAGGAATGATGTATTCCTGGCTCTGTTCCTGGCAGAGCACCTGAAGCCTTTGGTAACTCCCTGAGCTAGATGGGTAAATGGGCAGCATCTTTGGTTCTAATATTGGTCTTAGTTTCTAGTTTTTTATTTTTTTTTTAAGAAGGGTCTCACCTGTTGCCCAGGATCGAGTGGAGTGGTATGATCCTCACTCACTGCCTGGCACTGCTTCCTGGGGTTCAAGTGATCTCTTGCCCAGCCTCCCGAGTTTACTGGGATTACAACGCATGCAACCACACAGCCTGGCTAATTTTTGGTAATTTTTTAGTTTAGAGACGGTTATCACCAACTCCCATCCTTGCGCGTCTCCGTAACTCCTGACCTAAGTATCCGCGCCCCTTGGCCTCCCAAACGTGCTGATCAACAGGGGTGAGCACTGCACGCAGGCCGTTTTCCTAACGTTCTTGCCCCAAGGCTCAAGAAGCTGTGGGAGCTGTCACGGTAATCGCACTGGCTTGTGTATGATAGAAATGCACTGGGGCCAGGGGAGGGGCCTCGAAGCTTCTTTGCTGAGCCTGTGCCAGGACACCACAACCAGAATCTAGCGGATGGGACTTAGCTCCAAGCGCAACCTCCCCCGGAAAGAAGAGGGGCTGGAGCTTGAAGTTCAATAACGATATCCAGTGACTTATCGGGTCTATACATAATGGACCCTCCATAAAATCCCCGAACCAGAGCTGGGCATCATGGCACATGCCCGTAACCCGCACTTTGGGGGACCAGGCCAGGCGGATCACTAGTTTTGCAGACCGAGCCTGGGTAATACAGCAAAGCCCTCATCTCTAGCAAAAAATACAGAATTCACCATGTCGGTGGCAAGCGCCTTGTAGTCCCAGCTACTTTGGATGCCTGAGGCAGGAGATTGCCTTGAGCCTGGAGTTCTTGAGGCCTGCATGATTGTTTGGCACGGCACTCAGCCTGGGCAACACAGCAAGACTCTATTCAAAATTATATAATAATATTATATATGTATCACAACACACATAAGGTTGGGACAAAAAAAAAAAAAAAACAAAAAAAAACACACATACTACATTGGAAAGCAGAGGGAGAGAGTCGAGTGGGGACACATAACAAAAACAGAAAAAGACCAGCTGGCCAACCTGCGTGACAACCCATCTCTACTAAATACAAATTATTACTGGGCGTGGGCTGGCACCTGTAGTCCCAACTTACTCAGGGCTGCAATCACTTGAAACTGGGGCAGAGGTTGTGTGAGCTGAGATTGCACCATTGCACTCCAGCCCTGGACAACAAGGTGAAACTCGTCCTCCACAAATTAATTTTTGCTTTTCATAGATACATGAAACAGTTTACTTTGCTGTCGACATGGCATCAGGTTACTTCACACAAGCCGTAGCAGCCTAGGTCTGTTTAACACGCTCTGAACATGCAGGTCTTAAGGCTGGATAGCTACAAATAGCGATCAAACTGTTTTTTTGCGGTTTTAGGGGGATTTGAACAAAGCTCCCACCCTTACCTCATGTTTGCCTCAGGCTGAAACTGTATCTTCGAGGAGAGCAAGAAGCCCAACGAGACCAAGACTACTGAGGTGACACTCATCGGTGATTCAAGGACCGGATCGTCATCCCTTCGCCACCCTCACATGACTCCAAGGGCAGGACTTGACGTGTCCCCATCCAGCAAGCCATTCACCGCAATTTTTTTTTTTTTTGTAGCAAGAAGAAGAAGACAGTAGCCGAGCCAGCGAGATAATCCAGAGGCCTGTGGACGGCACT